AGAGAGAGAGAGAGAGAGAGAGAGAGAGAGAGAGAGCATTCAGAACAGCCATCTACAAAGACGCCATAGGATTCGCAGCCATCTACTTGATGCCTTACTAGTATCTAGAAGAAGAAGAAGAAGAAGAAGAAGAATTAACGAGAGGAGGATAATAACTCTAGAGAGAGGAAATCGATCAGATAGCATTCACAACAGGCATCTACAAAAACGCCATTGTTACAAGATTATCAGCTTTCGACACTACCGGTTGCTTACTTCCTTCTGATGCCTCGTGCATTCGTGCGAATGGTTTGTTCCAATTAGCTATATCTTGATCTCCATTTAGGATATGTAGACTAGAAAAAAAAAAATCAGAGTAAAAGATGGAATGCAAGAAAAAAGAGAGATTGGGCTAATGTTATTCCTAAGAATTGCTACTCAAAAATACACAAACACACTTTCTTTAGTTCGATAATTGCTAATTAAGCACCTATTTTCGTGGACAAATTTATCATCCACAAACGCAATATTGACTACGGAAATGCTTCAATGTGATTTGTAGTACGATCCATGTTCTATTCCTCACCTTATCTCCTAAGAGAAGAGACCTCCCAACCTCAGCTGTAACTTCGTGTTCAAGGTCGAACAGACAACGAACACAAGGTTGATACCACGAGGACTGTTCACTTGAGAAATGCATGGCATGGATATCACTCGCCCAAACACATGATCTCTTCCTCGCCGTAACCCTATCTGCAGCTGCTGTTGGTGTTAGCTCTTTTCTCCTTTGGACCTACAAAGCTATGCTGCATGAGATCCCGCTGCAGACCGAATACACCTCCACTTGAAGCCCTCATCACATCTCAAAGATTCAAGGAAAAGGGTATACATATATACATACCGCCACCTGACTCTCATCGGACAATCCCGGCCTCAATTTCTGACAGCAAAAAGTGAGGCCAATTTGACTTGTCGTTAAGCTTTGCATGTGATCCATAACGACCTATCTGTCTACTCTGAGAGAAGGTGAAGGTGGGGTGCAATTAGGTAATCCGTATGAACAGTACAGAAAGGCAACTGATGTGGGAAGTGTAAACCAATGGATTCGAGAGGTTAGATGTGCTCGCGGGGAGTGTAAACCTTTGGGTACGAGAGGTTTGAAGCACTGCTCGAATCACACACTCTTGGTTTATCTACCAGACCAACCTCTTCTTGTCTGAAAACTATATGTATCTGTGCCACTTTCATTTACTTCAGCTACCATCTTGTTCACCCATAAATTCTCTAGGCCGTACGACAGGGAACGTCTTACATAACCACTGCCTGGAGCTCCATGGGGGGGGGGGATGAATCTGCTCTCTCAACTCGAGCAGGAAACTTGTGTGAGCGAGCACAGCCACCGGCTGATGGTAGATGAGTGATGTAATGACACTGGGACCTGTAGTTCAGAGGAAATGATCTGAATGTAATAATGTTCATGCCTCGAAACATGAGACCTTGCAAATGTACAGTGCTGTTCTCAGGACTCAAAAACTATAAGAATGGCTACCAACATTCATGCCAGTGGGTCAATGGGTTTGACTTTTTTAGCTGATGCATATAGAGATCGAGTGAGTTTTGGATTCATAATGACAAACATTATGATTGCACACTGTGAATAGCTTCAGTTCATTGAATAGCTCATGTGAGGATTACTGGAGATATTAGTGGTTAGAATGGAATTACAGGAGATGAGCTGCCCAACCTACATTGTGTGTGTCATTCTGCTTTGAGAAGTTCCCATTGACATAGATTATGTATGCTTTGTTCATGGCAGATTTGGGACCCGAGACAAGCCCAGAGAAACAAACTGCTCGACATTTGTCGACACTGAACCGCTTTGAGAAGTTTCCATTGACACCAGCAGCTCTTATCCATGCCTCCATATGATGACCTGACACCATACCCCCTCATGCATCATCTCCACTACTTCGCCTGGGGAAATCGTTGCATCAAGCTTTTGTTACCTGGGTGGTGCTTCAGTTCAGAAAAGAAACCAGAAGAGAGGCGACGCTTTGTGGATCCTTTGCTGCTTTTAGGGCAGTGTGTGTTCTTGACTTGGTAGGGCACATCCATTCACTTGGTCAGTTGAGAAGTGGCTCCTCTGCAGCTGATGCTGTGGCTTTTTCTGTACCACATGATCTCGTCGTTGGAGTTTGGATTCTACAAAAAGACACATTTCATATCATCACTGGAGAAAGATATGTTGCAATTAAGACCGCACATAAGAAGTCAAATTGATACACTTAATCATCAGATGCTTTTCTAATCAAGAAAGAGAGCACACAAAAACAAAAGGAACCATGCAATTAATTGGAGGCGAAGACCAGGCACAAGAAAACGAAAGAATTCACCCTGGGCCATGAAAAGTAAATTAACCTTGTGATGCTTTTGACACATATTTACTTCAATTTTCTGTCCTGTGATTTGTATTCATGGAAAGCCGCTGGCTTCTGTCAATCTTGGTTGCCCTTCAAACATCAAAACAGGATTGTGAGCCTGTAGGACAATTTGGAAGTATATAATTCATGAGAGACCCGCGGAAGGCTCAGATAATGATCATAGTGAATAATAAAAGCAAACCAAAGAACAGAAACAAATTGGCTATGGAGTACAAAAAAGTTCACAGGTAAGGCCAACTGAAACATACCGAATCAAGGGAATCCTCAAATTTGTTACCATGCCAATAGCAGCCGCTGTTGCTGAGTTTCATCAGAAAAATCAGTAAGCCATGAACAAATTCATGTCCTCAGAGAAGAAGTACTGAAAATTTATAATCAGCAAGTCTCTAGCTTTTCTTATGAGAGGAGGAAAGGGTTTACTTATGAGGAAACATGTAAAAGGCTCATTTCTTTCGCAAACAATTTCAGAGAGTTAATCATAAAACGAATCAGTGACAGAGAAAACACAATTTGTTATTGCAAGTAATTGGGCCCATACAAGGTGAAGAAGCCAAGGGGTAGACAAGCTTTATGCTTCAGAAGTCGATGAGCATGAGAGATGCATTATAAACCTGCACCTTTTTCCTCACTTGATAGGTGCCGACAACACATTAACATTTCAAGAAAACCATCACAATTGCTTCTGGCATTAACTAACAAAGAAAAGGCCACTCAATCCATGTCCTGATACACGTTACAACTTTAAGTGTCATAATAGTTGATCTCTCCACTTTAAGTAAAAATTTTTAAGCATTTCAACCATCCATATTTCCTAGAAGAAACCGTCCAATTGCAACATGATCGTTAATGGCCCAATGTCTTAACAGCTGTCCTAAAGAGAAGTATGTAGACCTTATCGATGGAGAAGTACAAGAAACCTCCCAAAGTATGTGTGACATATGAACCAAAGCTTCTCCCAACAATACAGTGCCAAGCTGGACCATACAATGAGTCGAATTCCTGAGAAATGAAATGAAATAATTGCTACTTCATAAGAAGAAATTAATAGAACACTTCTTTCATAAAACAGCAAAGAGGCTACTGAAGTACTATTACTGGTGCAAAAAGAAAATCACCAAGAACTTATCATCAACAGCAACAAATGCAAGTGGATTATGCAGCCTAACACCAAAAATACCAGTTTAAGCTTTTAAAATGATCCAATTGATAATATGAGGTTTCCGGTATCATTTCCTACTTGAAACAGGAGAATGCAAGCCAATACATGCGGGCATGATACAGAACCATGACAACAGCACCAAGATACATAACAAATAAAGATCTATCAAGAGACAAGATGAAACCAAAAGCCCAAACAGGGGAAATTTGAATGAAACTACTCCAGAAGAACAAGTTCACTGAAGTGTCATTCCATGAAAACTCTCCGGACACCACATTGGAGGGAGCCTCATGTACTGGGTATGCCTCTCCCCCTCCCCCACCCCCTCTTTTTTTTCCCCTCCCTTTAGGGATGATCTTGACAGACACATCAGTGAGAAGATGTAACATTGGTTTGTAAAATTATCCAAGTATATCAAACCAAGTAAATATGCATGATCATGTGAGCAATCAGGAACGGGAGAAATTTGATCTCAGTGTTGTAATACATGCCTTCTATTGTCCAACTACCCAAGAACCGAAAAAATATGGCTAACTGAAGTGGTTGCTTCGAGTCCATTTAAAATTTAAATATATTTCAAGTCATTGGTTTATTTCTGGTTTTCGACAAACCAATATAATCTAGTCTATCCAAAGCATTCAGTTAATCTACCTCTCCATCAACCACAATCAACTCACTAGTCTCGTTCTGGAGCGGTTAAGGATGTCTAGTGACACCACTACCTCAGCTATAAGAACTTTACTAGGAAATAACCACAATCCTCCAATAACAGCAGCTTTGCTGGGAAGCTTTCCTAGTTTTTCTATTGACAGATTTCTCATCAATTTATCTTAAGTTAGCTTGTAGGTTTTAGTTCTCACGGTTCAGGTTTCACCTTTACAGAGAACCTGATGAATCAATTCTTGGTGCGTTCAGCTCGATTATTTATGGAGAAGATATTTTGCAATTTGAACTAATCCGTCCTTTGGATATATAGTTGATATTCTGCAGTAACAACACACGGAAATTTGGTGTTTTCATTTGTTATTAAGTCTGATCTCTATCAACTTTTCAATGTTCAATAACTGAGCTTAAGGAGCTCTTACTTTGAGCCCAGTATCGGGCTTTATCAACAGTGGTAACTAACTGATTCACCTCGGTATCTACTAATCTACAAGCATCAATCATAGAACACAACCAAACCGATCCATCAGAACACGGATAGGCAGAAAGAGATACGTGCCTTCTTGAGGGTGAGGGCGAGGCGCTTGTTATCGAGCTTGGGCATCGAGTCGAGCACCTCGCGGGCGCACTGGAACGCCCGCTCCTGCAGCGCAACGGGCATGTCGGCGGCCCTGACCCGCACGTCCTGCGTCTCCTCAGCGCCCTCCCTGCTCCCCCGATCGCCGGTTCCCTTCTTATCCACCCCTTGCTGCCGCTCTGCTTCAAGTCGCCCAGATTTCTCCTCCACGTCGTCCTCAGCCCTGACCCTGGCACGTTGGATGAGGGAGGTGAGGTACTGGCTCCGCCGCTCGAGCTCCGCCGACGCATCTTCCATGGCCGCCGTCTGCTGCCGCCGCGGCTACTTCACTTCCTTCATCGCCGGGGTTTGGGGCTGCTTTTGTTCTGGGTCGCCTCGGACCGCTCTCCCTGTGTCTGCTTCGAAATGGCTTCCAGCTTTGGATTCCGAGCACTGCTGCAATATATATATATATATATAATATTAAGCCGTGATATATATAAGCCTAATCTGAACCACACCCACGACAACCGAGCCGGTTCAGGCTGACCAAGAAATACGCAGCTCGAACCAGACCGCTCACTTTAGATATAAATGATGGCACGATGCTCGAACCCGACATACTTAATGTCGACTTAAGAGCCGGTTCGGTTCGGTTCAATTAAACAAATTCTTAAGACCAACCGGTTCATTGGACCGCTTCGTTGTAACAGAAGACGGTTATGTATATGACAGCCGCTCGTAGATCGGACCTCCCTCTATCTCTCGCTCGCGCCTTCCACTGCTTGCCCACAATGGTTTACATCGCGTCCTGGGACGAGTTCGTGGAGAGATCGGTGCAACTTTTCCGCGCGGATCCCCACTCGGTAAGTTCCTCACCGCCCCGAACCCCTTCGATCCCTACTCCTACCATTTCATCTCTTCGTCCTTTTCTTTTGGAATCGATTAATTTGGGGATTTTTGTGATGTGGGCCTCTCTCCGACCGAGAAGTCGCGGTACGCCATGAAGTACAGGCATTGCGACGGGAAGCTGGTCCTCAAGGTCACCGACAACCGCGAGGTATGCTGATTATCTTGACACTTGTTGTAACTATCGCCTAATTTAGGTGCCTATAAAGCCCTGTGAATTGCCTTTTATTGGAGCCTAATGGTACAGAAAGGCATTATTAGTTCATGGAACAGAAGGCATGTTTCTCGTGAAAAGTAAATACATTTCAAGAACTGCTTTAGCAATTTTTAAGGTGGCAATCTTGTTGTGCCATTGTTGTTTTGTTTGCTTTAGCAATCCAAATTTGTTGCAAGCAAACAAACACATTTGCATGATTCGGGGACTACTCAAATAATGTGTTACGGAACAAAAACCAAAATACCACATACTACATACCACTAAACTTGTCCTCTTGTATAAGAACCAAGCTATGATAAAGCTTCCATAACTCATCACACAAACAGTGTAGCACAAAATCCATCTCAGGCATTACTAAATGGAACGGAACTGAGGTTCAAATATAATACAATTTTTTTGTTTTTCAAATAGAATACAAGTTGCTACAGGGTTTTAATATATCATGAGCATAAGATATGTATACCTTTCAATTCACTATCAACTTCAGAAATATGAATTACCTTTCTACATTGGAGTATTTTTTGTTGTTCTTTTACAATACCAATTACCAAAAGTAGATGGACAGAAAGGGTCTGTTCTAGCAATGGAGGAGACTGGAAAGATGTGCAAGAGAGACTAGATAAAGGAAGATGAGAAAGGAGGAAAGACTTAGGATTGTCTTCTCAATTCTAGACTTACAAAGAGGACAAGCTGCCCTGCCTGTTTTTGGTTTGGAAGTTTTTATATTTCCTCCAAAACTGAGTAGAGGCATTCAAAAAATTGGATGTGGCACACAGTTGACATGGAAATATACACTCAATTCCTGTCAATTGTGTGAATCATGAAATAAAAAAATAAAAGGAAATTAGAATTGGACTCAAATTTCAAAATGACCTTGCCTCTCTTTATAGAAAATTATTGTTCACCTTTCATTTTCATAAACTGATAGGTCAACCAATTAGAAGGTTTTGTCATTTGGTTATCCAAGCAAATCCATGCAAGTTTGTTTAGAAAATAAATTTGAAATTATTTATAATGCACCTGAGTTCAGTTGAAACCATTCCACCTATCAAAGGAAGAATGTAAATCTGATGGCTGAATGAGTTGTATTCTGTGAGAAAAGTGGCAATATATATATATGTATATATATATATATATATATATATATATATATATATGTATGTATGTATGTATGTATGTATGTGTGTGTGTGTTTAAAATTATGAAATAATATTTATTTTTCACACAAAGACTTGATTTATATCATATCATGATTACAATCATTATATAAATTTTCTTTATGCTGATTAATATTCAATAATTATTATAATTATTTATTTTATTATTTTTTATATAAATTAAATGAATAACAAAATTGATGAATATTATTTATAACTTATATCATTAAGTTTTATACGACTAAAAGTTGTCAAACTGGCCTAATAGAGTTATGGAATATGAATTATAATAAATATGTTATCATTTATAGAATATCTTAAACTATATTATATATTATTACATTGGTTTAATAGCTATCAAAGTATCTTAGACTAATAATTATTAAAATTACATTAAAAAATAGTCCTAAATTACATTGAAAAAAATAATATTTGCAATGACATATATAATTATAAGAGCTAGATGATCCCAAAGGGATATCTATTTCAAATATTCATGTGATGAGATAAGATGATACTTAAATTTAATTATTATTTTTGGATATATATATATATATAATTATAAAATATTTTTTTTATTTTTATATAGAGACGTGATTATATCTTATCATGATTATAGTCATTATATTAGTTTTTATTTTTATTATTAAACTATTTTTATATAAATTAAATTAATAAAAAAATTAGTGAATATTATTTGTAACTTATATCCTTGAGTTTTATTTGAAGATATTTTATGACATCACAATAGTTTTCTTCTCTTATAATAGCGAGTACTCTAGTAGTTCTATAATTATGATATAAAATACTTAATGATCAGAGAAAAAAATTTAAAAAAATAATATTAATTAAGAACTTAACTTCCACTATATTGACTATTGATCCATTTACTAAGACCTTATAAGTAAAAGTATTTAAAAGAATGTTTTCTTATGATCGAACTTGTGATCAACCCATAAAAGATATACTGATATATATTTAAGTGGATATTATAATTGATATTTTTATTTATATAATCAAAATTATTTATTTATGTTATCCTATTCATATTTATGTATATACATATTATGATTGAATGTGATAACCATATTATCTTAATAAGATAAATTATAATGATCATTTTAGACTATATTAAGAATGACTAATAATATTGAGATATATAAAAGGAAGTATAACATTGATGACACACAACAGTTATGACTCATATTGATAGTTAAACTTAATATAATATTATACTTATTAGATTTATTTAACTATTTTATAATACATAAAATATACTTTTATAAAATTTTAAATATAATTAAATAAAATTATTTTTAAATAATATTTTGGTTTATTCATTTTGATATTATTTTTCTTATATCTTACTAATTAATGAGTCAAATGGGAGAATATTAGATTATATGACGCTATCCAATTAAATAAAATATGCTATAGATATAATTAGATTCTGATCATAATTATCGACTAATAGAAAGGACATCCAATTATAGTAAGAATCCTTATGACTAAGGTAACGTTAATGGGTGGGACTTTCCTAATTATTTATCCCAAATCTTTTGTTCTCGCCTATAAAAAGATAAAGTCTCTTATGAACAAAATAACTAGTTATTGAGAGATTATAGATCTTTTCTCATCTCATTTTAATCCTGTGAAAAATAGAAAGAGCGGAGAAAACAAGTATAGCTTTTATTATAAATCGATATTGTTGTAGTTTTCAGATTCGACGACGGTGCACTTGCAAATCAAATAAAGATTTTTCTAAATAGCATCGAAAGGTATGCATCATAAACTTGATATGTTGTTATTTGATTTGATTTCATTTTTTGGCATTAAAATTTTTCGTATAATAGTAATATAATCATAATTTTTATACTTATATTGAGGCCACAAATCAAATTTTATAGCTACAAAATTTCATATTGGGTAGTCAACTTAATTGTCAAACTACTAAAGATATTTTATGATAATAATTCATAAGTTTTCTTCTGTAAGAATAACAAATACTTTAGTAGTTCTAAATGTATCGAGATAAGATATTGGGTGATTATATAAATAGTCCAAAAATAACAAGTGTCAATCGAGAACATTAGCATAACTTTGATGATTGTTGATCGATTTATTAAATTTTTATACAAAAGTATTTTAAATAATATATTTTTAAAATTAGGTGTTTAAGCATGTTTAAGTGAATATTATTATTAATATTTTACTTATTTAATTAAAAATATTTATTTTTACTATCCTATTTACATGATAATATACTACATTAATAAAATAAATTATCGGTTGAATGTGATAATAAAATTATTTTAATAAAATAAATTACATAAGTTATTATAGACTACACTAGGAAAGACCAACAAGATTGTAATACATAAAAAGAAGTATACATTGATGATATATAATCATTATGGCTCGTATTAGTAGTTAGACTTAATAAACTTATTGACTTATTTTAAAATTCATAGTCATGTATAAAATATTTTTTAAAAAATTTAAATTTAAAATTATTTTTAAATAAATTATATTTTTATTTATTTTAATTTAAAAATTTTATATCTTATAAATTGATAGGCCACGTGAGAGAATCTTATATTATGTCACCATATTTAATGATGTATTATATATTTAATTAAATTTTAATTATGATTATCGGCTAATAAAAAAATTTACTTATTACAGGATTCCTTAATAGATATTTTGATGAAAGAAACTTTCATAAGTATTTATCATAGACTCTTTGGTCTCATTTATAAATAGACACTATTTTATTGTTCGATTCTATAAATTATAAAAAGAAAATAAAAAAGAAAATGTGGTTCATAATGTAGATTTATATTTTTATTACTTGCGAATTAGATTATGCAGTGTGTTTTAAGATAAAAAAATAATATTAAAAGATACATATATCTATGCTATATTTGATTTTAAATTCTGACCTTAAATTGAAGAAGATGAACACAGTACAATGGGTTGGTATAGAATGAAATGTGAACAAAGAGATCATGCGGTAGCGACAAGCATAATCTTAGGATGATTAAACAGCGACCTGAAATGTTTATGCATCAATATGATATCGGATACGACTGTGTTGTAAGTCTGGCTATGATTACAGATGTTTGACATCTCTTTTTCTATCATGACGTGTTGATTAGATAAGAAAATTCAAAAAAGAATAAACAATGATCAAATTTGAGGGATTTGCCTTTGTCGCTTTCTCTAGAAAAATGAAATTTTGTCATAGAGGACTTTTGGAGTGTAAGTTCAATAGATAATGATTGAATATAAAAACAATCTAAATCCTTAAATGATTAAAAACTCCCAGAAATAATGAATGCAAATCCTATGGAAGGGTCCCTTCACAATCTTTCATCCGCCTTTCATCCGCTCCTCTTCGAAATAGATATCATATAATTGATTTAAAAATTCATAGTTGAAATCTGGAATCAAATTTCGGATCCAGCGTTGGGTTATAAAATCTCCCATATATATATATATATATATATATATATATATATATATATATATATATATATATATATATATATATCCATTGTTGAATTTACCATTGTCTTTATGAATCATTGCGGGTAGACAATTATGTGTCCCACCCTCGTTACATAAGTGCCCATCAAAGGAGATACAGATAATCAATAATATCTTGTTCTTGTTATCATTACTCGTATCACAAGCGATCAACGATAAATATGGCTAGGGGCTTACCTAAGAAAAAATAGACCGACCATAAAAACACAAGTGTCTAAAGCTCAACTAGCAACAAAGATACAAACATGAGCAACGAGGGATAAAATCATCATTTATAAATTTTTTTTATCAAAATTTCTAAATATTGAGGTGCTTTTTAGAAATTTCTCAAAATTATTTTTTTCAAAGAATTTACCTATATATAATATATACAAAAACACATAAATATCAATTAATAAGGAATTATTGAGATGAAAACTGATTTAAAAAAGAACTCTTCACAAGAAAATAGATCCCAAAGAATTAAATGATTACAAATTCCCTTTTTGATATTTTCCATAATCCATTCATGATTCTACAATTTATGAAATTAAAAACGTAATCTAAACCTATTCTTTAATCGAACAACCACGCAATATTTATGATATTAATGATCATATCATGCGTCTTGACATCCGAGCGATCGGCCGTTCTCCGAGAAAATGATCTGTAATAACATATAACAAAGCCAAAATCCTGCAATAATTATAGCATTGACAAAGGTCACAAACCATGTCGACTTCCATCTCTGCTGCAACGCAGCGATGTCGACGGGTGGGCCCCGGCGGCCCTTTATTCTTAATCGGGCCCGCTATCGAAAACAGCCTGTCCTACGGCCCCACGTCATGGCCCGTGACGTGATTCCGGTAACTGTACTGAGGTGACCAGACCTCAACACCACCGTCTCCCTCACCCGTCTCTCGCGCTCTGCGGTGCTTTCCCTTCTGCTTTGGTTTGTCCTCCGAAGCTTGCAAATCTCTGCTCCTGTAAGTTGTATATTTTGCCCACCGATCTTGCGCAAATTTTTTCGTTGTTTTGTAGGAATTATAGGTGTTCTCGTGTAGGAATCGTAATCTTTTGTGCTTTATGATATCATATTCCTGGCTTGTGTTGCGGTCTGCGATTCTTCTGCAATTTTTTCCTGTGCCCTTCTCGCTTGCTGATTCATGTGTCTTAAAGATCGCGTTTTTGTTCGAGTAATTCAAGAAAAAGACATCCTTGACGAACCCGTTCTTGTTCCGCTTCTTTATTTTGTTCTCTTTTATTGACTACTTGTTTGGGATCATTTGCCAAGGGAAAGAAGTTCTCATTCCATAATAGAATAGAATTCCAGAGAATTTAAACTCTAAATAAACGAAGGTATTGTTTTAATATATGAATATCGGTGTCATCAATAATAGTTCATTCATTTGAAACAACTGATCTGTACCCAAGGAGAGAAATCTCAAGGTTATTTCCTTTGTTTGGAGCCACGAGCTATCACTTCTTCGATTGCGGATCAAAGAAGTTGGGTTTGGTGATGGAGGAACATATAATGATTTTCTGAGAGTATTAGGAATATTAATAGTCTCATAGCAATTCGAAGAGACATTTCTAGTTTTAATAAGTCTGGAGAACATGAGTAATTATTTGGTCCCTTCAGTTAAAAGTTGAGCTATGAAAATGTATGTGTGTACTCACTCATGTCGAGTTCCAATAAAGATGAAGTTGGTAAAATATGGATTTTGCTACATCTGGCCATAGATGGGATTTTCTGCTTTAGCTACTAATATAAATTATCTTCATAATTATTATCTCACTGAACATTCTAAGTTATTGATATTTTTCTTGACTGTCAAATTGTATGCTCATGGCAGCATTTAGATGTTCATCTAAAAATTGTGTCACAGGGAATTTGACTCCGATGCTGGACTTCAATTCCTTCATGTCAAGATGGAAACCTGTTACATTTGAAGAATCTCTAACCTTTGTGAAGAAAGTAAAGGTGAGCCTTTAAGAAAAGAATTTCTTATTCTGTCTTCTGGATTGAGAGGTTTCAGAAGCTCATTGCAGTAGTCATTTCTTAGTACACCATCATCACAAAATGTGCCATTTATGAATTTAATGCACTAAAAGAAGTCCTTCTATGGAGTACTGTGATTCAAGGATACCTTTGCTGGCACTGGTTCAGCATTACTACAGCTTAAGCTTGCAACAGGCCAAAATTGCTAATTCATAAAAAGATTTGGATTAGTCTTAAACCCATGGCATAAATATCATCATCACCATCTTATCACAGGAATCTTATTTTGTTGATTAATAAGTTAGCAGGCGTATTAGGTGCATATTGTTACTTGATTTGTTTATTTTAACATTTACGAGGTCTGTAATCATGATGGAAATTCTGAAGTATGTGACAAACTAGATTTTATTTCTTCGAGGGGAAAAGATGGGTAATTATTTCCCACCAAATATTAGATGTTTTGATCACGTATCACGATTTTGGTTGGGTTGATAAATTTTAGTCATAATGGGAACTTACAATTCAGAACAAAGATCAACCAGGTAATTCTGCACAATAGTTGTCATCCACACCTCTGGAAGATTTCATGCTCCATATGTATCTATTTGTACATGATTCTGATGGTTCAACATAGAATCCCGTCGTACCTAAGATATCAACAGCTTGTATTCTTAGCCAACAAGAAAGATTTTTGCAAAATATCCAAGGTAAGTTCTTTCTCAGTGAGTTTGAGTGGAGAATGGGAGTGGTAGACTTCATCTCTCGCTCTGGTAACTGAGATCTCCTGTTTTCCCTTGATAGCGAGATGACATTTTCAGTTACTGGTGGATTGCTCAAGCATCTCCATTCCTCCGACAGAGATGTGAAATTGTTGACCAAGTGAATCAGCAGTTTGTAAATTAACAATCCATGGATTTGAATATAAAACTTAATTACCAGCATTGGCTGGAATGCTGATTTTTATGTAGTTTAGAAATACTTAAGGGATCTAGAAGATCCTTCTTGAATGGTTCAGCAAGGCACCACTTCATCTCATCATTTTAACGATGAAAGCATCTAGAAGTAAATCTATTCTTCAAATGGTTCAGCGGCACGCAACTTCAATTCATCATTCATCATTCACTTATGACCAGTGTTTACTTTTTCAGGCTCGCGATTACCAATTGTACTTGTCATTGTTCGACATCGTCAGTCGGAACGAACAGATGACTCCAGATATCTACGATGATGTAAGATTGCTGTGATATTCCTCCCCTTGCTGATTACTTGTTTTGCCTCGCCGTAAGGCCTAATAGCATTTATTTTTTCATGGCTTCCAAGCTACTATTGCTCTTCGAGAGTCACAATGATCTGCAAAAGGAGCTAATGCGTTTCAAACCTCTCGTCGTAGAAAGAATGATTGACAACGACGTTTTATCAGGAATGGCTCTTCTCCTTGTGCTAATATTATTCTTGAGCTTGTTCATTTTGTTTGAACAACCTCTGAAATATGCTTTTCAACAAGTGTTTGGAACCTAACTGAAAGGGGGCATTATGGTGCATGTATGATCGATGTTTCCTCTTGGCAATAAGATCATTATCCTCATGCCCACCCAGTTTCTTGGAAATCCAGTATTAACTTGTTTCGTGAGAACTTATTTGCAGATATTACCTTAATCATCTTGAGAACTACCTTGGTGTTGTTACATGCAATGAACAGCATGGTTGCTACATTTAGTGACAGAAATGTGTGAACGACTTGGGCCCCACCAAAATTAAACGCATGATATGCGTGTTGTAAGCCCACCAACTTTAAGGTAGAAACAAGCTTCGACATGTTCTGATCTCATCTTGTGACACAAGTCTCTCCTCCGCCAGCCAACTTAACATGGGCTTCAACACTTGACTTGGTAAATGCAACGTCTCTAAGAAGCTCCATAAAATAACCCACCTGCTTGGCACATTGTCATTATGTTGTTCTCGATCAACAGATAGATAACACACAGATAATTATTTCTATTTTCTCTCGCTTAGCATATCCATATCCACCTCACAGATGAATCCTAATGACCATTTGTTCCGAGCGACACTCTTGGATTATGTTCTTCCCTTCATGATCCTAAATTATATGATGGCCAAGCCTCTTGCCAGGAAATCTAACAGCCTCCGTAATCGTAAGACGCCTTCTTTTACTGTTGAAAGCTAAAATCTAAGAATCGAATGGGTAAAATAAGAAGAATAACACACATGACATGCGTGCAATCTTCAACGACCACGAGCAAATCCAACATGCCGGTCCGGATTGCCACGGAGTTGAAGCCCATCCTATTGTCAAGTCCTCGTTCATCATACAATTGGTCTAGACCTAACAAGCCACCAACTTGAGGTGAGGTAACCTCACCGCACCCAGAAATTTTAACAAAACCGGCACGGTTTAGGTGACTGCAACCTGCCCACCCTAGAATCGAGCGCATCCCACCGTCCAACATCGAGCGAGCACCCGATCGTACGGACGAAATTTCGTTCAACATTGACCGTTGGATGGGCCGGCTGATGGATGCCTGATCAGCAGGCGTCACCCGCCAATCGGACGGTTGGGAAGGATGGACTACGAGCGGAGGCGGTTTCCGTAACTTCCTTGGTACATGTAAGAGAGCTCTCACCTCTCTCTCTCTCTCTCTCTCTCTCTCTTTCTTTCTTTCTTTTATTTTGGTTTTAAGCCTCCTCGTCTCGTCTCCCCCGCTTGCTTCCTCCTCTTCTCCATAGATAGAGGCAGACAAGAGCTCATTCCCCTTTCCCCCTCTCTCCGGTCGCGCGCGTCGCCTTCGCTTTGGGCTTCTACCGCGAGCTTTTGACACCTCGATCCCCGCCGGTTCACGCTCTCAGATTGGTTCGATCGGGATTCGAGCCGACGGAGGAGGCGCAGAGTGGAGAAAGATCGAGGATTTGGCTCGATTCAGGGTTCGATCCGCGTTTTGTCGGTGGAGATAGGGGGGAAAAGGGCTCGTGATCACTGCAGTTGTCCCCCCACCCCCCTCGGAGGTTTGATGGGTCGATGAAAGGGGCGAGGGAGGAGGCTTTGATGGGTTCTCAGCTCAAACGGCCCAACGTTCCTCGAGCGGATCCGTGAGTTTCTCCGTCTCCTTCTTCGTATCATTTCGTTCGTATATCTCGATTCGCTTTCTGTGTTCTTTTTTTTTTCTCGTAGAGGCCGACTCCTACCCGTGGGTTATTTGGTTGGTTCGTCGGCCGGTATCATTTTGAATAAATGACGAAAATTTCCTTGTTATTTTGATGTTTTAGGAGGTTTGGATTTTGCGAGAGAGAGAGAGAGAGAGAGAGAGAGAGAGAGAGAGAGAGAGAGAGAGAGAGAGAGAGTAG